GACGGGAACGTGAAAGGAAATTTTTAGGTGAAGCTCCCCCAGCTCTGTTGTCCGGCCGGATCCGGCTCGCAAGGAAACACCGATCACAGTCATTCTCGTGTATTTACTGCTCTTGATGAGAACATTAGTTTGTGCAAATACGAGGGGAAAACAAACACAAACCCGACAGCTGAGTCTGTGCCAGAGAGACTCGGGGGGCTGAGACATGGGGGGATAGAGCTCAGTTTTTATTTACAGTGAAGCTGGAAAATTCCCATATCCCCCACAAAAAAAACACAAAGCACAAAACAAGAACAATGACTTGCGTTTTGAGGTCACTTTCATTCTGCACATAGTATGAATTGAATGATGCAAACTGAAGAGCAAGAAATGTCAAGTAACGTCTATGTCTTGTTCCTTATATTGTCTTTGACTGAACTGATATATTCTACTGTATATTTTCCAGGCGTGTGTTTTGGAGTCTCGGCTAAATCGATAAACTGTCACCTCAGTCAAGCCAACATTGGAATCTTTTCGATGCCGTTGGGTCTGGGGGCCACGAGGGTCTGTGCCAAATTTCCTCCCCAAGAACTGCTTACATGGCTCGTAACAAATGCAGGAAAATTAGCATGAACTTCTCTGCACTGATTACAAGAAAAAAAAACAAAAAAACAGGTGTAGAGCAGTACTTTGCAGCGTCGCAGTGCGTACAGATGAGCACCCAGTATGGATTTTTTGGAACAATGCCTTCCAGACAACCTCCTGCACAGTCGGTGCATCTTGAATAATAACAAAACACGACTATCAGCGCGTTCCCCATCGCTCAAGAGAAGTCACGTGACAAACGGCACAGATTGTGTGCTTTTGACTTCTGAATGTGGACAATAACGCTTTATCGGTTCTACAAGTTAAGAATTACGACAGCACTTATGAGATTTGCATTTCAGCCGTTCAGAGCTGCCGTGTGCCTCGCTTCGGTCACTCGGTTGGCATAAATCACCATCTCAATGATGAGCCACAGTCCTGCCCGGGGATTAATTAGTACAATGCAAGGAACGCTGACCTGTAATTAAAAGCACGGAGGAGCTTTGATATTTAAAACAAGTATTCCACACACCTTCAGCAATTATCTCACAGGGGATTAAGAACTTTGTGAAACTTTAAAAAACCACTGATAAATCGTTATAATAGGCTAAGCAGGGTGCAAGTGTTTAAGTCCACTGCTTTGTTTAGACCTCTCCCACGATTAGGAAAAACAGAGGGAAAAATAATAAAATGTTTGCCGTAGATCAATTACAAGGTCACAATTATCCAACAGGATAATTAGATACATTAACAAACTGTTCAAGAGCAGATACGAGTGAGTAGGAAGGTGAGTGTGTGACAGCGAGTGAATCATTATCCCATCACCCCAGCTGGTGAGGATGTGACACTTTGGCTGATATTATTGGAATGAGAAAATCTCTCAGCCAAGACAAGAACTGAGCGACTCTCAAGGTTCAAAAAGACCGAACCAGAACATAATACGAGGCTCGTACGAGTTAGCCGGAGCGCGCTCGTGTCACACTCGGAACTGATGAAGACAAAGTCGGCGGCGGGAAATAAATACTTAATCGTAACAATCCTTCAAAATGCCAGATGAAGGAAAACGTAATCAGTGAAATGCTGTCAGAAGCTTTGATAGCATTTTTAGAAGGGTTACACCAAACCCCTCGTCATGATTCATGTTTTATGGAAAACGCTGGATATTCAAAAGGTTTGTGTAAAAATTAAACTGCTTCATGGGGTTTGTTTTGGGTCCTCGGTGTCACTTTTCTTTGATGAATGTAAAGGTTGCTGCCGTTCTGCAACTTCAGTAAAACAATTAGTGTTTTTTTTTTTTAAATCCATCTAATTATTCTACAACGCACTGCGGTCGATTGAGTCATTCTTCAGGATGAGTTTATTGGGCTCTTATTCTACAAAGGCCGGCCTTAAAATTAGAAGTGCTAAATGAATGTACTGTAGTAAAGCTCAAGAAAGATTAAAAAGGATGCTGAGCTGGTGACAATTCCTCAAACTAACATTTTCAGCGTTATTGTGGCATTAAAAAAAAAAACCAGACTAACTCACTCAATAATGAAGGCAGTGAAAACACAAAGACTCCACACTCAGGCTGTTCTCATCATCACTGAGGATGCTTCTTTATGACTCGGTAGAGGCTGTATGTTTGGGGTTGCTATCATGCTGCAGAAAGTATTTGAGACCGATTAGATTCCTCTTGGATGAATAAGAGTGTAAACAACTGAAGTGCTGAACTCGAAACGTCACGTTTTTTCCCCAAGTAATGGCTTCTAACACTTCTGTAGCTTGACCTAAAGCTGAATGACAGAAACAGCAAGCAATGAAAACTGTTTGAAGGTCTGAAATCCTGCTAAAAAGAACATAACAAATACAAACCCTTTTGCTTCTACTCGATGATGCACACCAGTTCTGTCCAACTTTATGTACTTAGTTTTAAAAAGGTGCTGTATAAAGTTCTTCTTTTTACTGTTTATTAACTGTGATGTATTGGTTTCACTTTAAGCAGTTAGAGCAGCCGTCTGTTTAGTCTCTAAACCGTGATTATTGATCTCTTTTTGGTATCAGCTACTTCGGTTAGGACGGTGATAAAACTCCCAAATCAGCTGACACACACCAGAAACACTGTCGCATCACCTGGCTGCTCTGACCCACAAACTATCATCTATCTGCACTTTCAGCTCACGCAAACCCAATTAGGACTAATTTTGAATCTTTTCTGAAGTCAACCCTCCTTGCGTCTCCTGTTTTTTTCTCCACCAGCTTCTGAGAAAAACAGATGGAACTCGAGATGGCAAAAGTTTTATTTGCTTCGTCGGCTTTTTAAATGAAAACCGGCTGCAGTTAGAAAGGGATCTGATAAAAGCTCAGAGACTGTGCGACATAATTGCCAGAGTCAAACAATGAGCTACAAGAGGCTAACAAACCAAGAACTGTAAAATTGGGGGAGAATTTGCACAAGTTTCGTCTCTATAATCTCCTTCTCATTTCACACAGTCATTACATTTTGTGCTAATGTGACAACGAACACTGCAGCTCCAGAGAACACAACCGAAAGCTATCACAATCTCAGCAAGACGAAAAACTATTTCTGTACATTCTGATGCATATTAACTAGATGTGATGTACATCCTGCTGCTAATGGACACAAAAGACAAGTGCTTTTTACAAGCATGTGAGATCTGTTGATTGGAAGTCCAGTGCAGCTTCTGAATTTTGATGAGCGGGACATAATGAGCCAGCAGCATGAGATGTCTGAGTTGATGGTTTATTCAGTGTTTTCTGAACTGTTGGGTGGGCTTTCAAGCAGACAGTGTTATTTTTCTCCATGTATACTTGCATTGCTAAGAGAATTTCCATTTTTCAATTGTCGCACAGAAGCATGTTATTTCCTGATGAACAGACATAATGCTTTATTAGTCTGACGAGCGCATACGAGCCAGCTGCAGGGATGTAAAGCTAAGTATCTGTTCCACTCTTCTGAAGCTTAAAAAGACTTTTTAGTTCACAACAGACACCCGAGAGGGATGGCAGAACGCAAAACAAACACGTTGAAAGAGGCTGAGTCATACACTACAGTCCATTAACAAACTAAACTAAGCACAAAACTAATATCTCAAGCAACTAATCATCTGTGAGGCGCGTGGAGAAATAATCATGATAAATCAAGGCTCGCAGGACATTTTTTTTCCCTCTGAATATGCTGCGCACATTAGATGAGGTGTTTGCAGCGGATTCCTGCTTCTGGGCATCAATTCATCACATGAGAAATGTCAGTTTGCGAGTGTGGAAGTAAGAAACCCCCAAACCAAAACCACCCGTCTTACTTAAACGGGTCTGTCTCATGCCAACTGGTCTCCCTAACAAGCCAAGGTCACTGAAGCAGCCAAATGTGGCTGGCAGTGCCCTCGGCCAGCCGGCGTTCATACCTCCAAAGACTCGCGTCCTCATGGTGCAAAACCACAAGCTCCTGCCCCCGAGAAAAAGCCTGGGTCAAGCCGATGATTACATCAAGAGGATGGGCTTGCCAAGTGTTACTACCAGCGCCAAATGTTCTGCTCTTTCCCTCACACCTGCTTGATTTGTCATCATTCCCAGTCATGCTCTCTCCTCCGTCCTATTGTCTGCATATTCATCGCCGAGTCTCGCTCGCTCAAAGTCAGTCTGCTTCACTCCTGCACTGAGACTCTAAAACCTCTTTTTAGGTGTCTATCAGTCATAATATCTTATACGCAACAGGTTAAACATTTGTTTTGCCCTTCAAAAGGTTAAGGGGAACTGAGTGAAATAAAGAACACGGCATTCCATTAAATGTGATTTATAGATTGCATTAGTACAGAGAAGACTCTCCAGGTTTGCCACGCTCGACCAAATGACCGAGTTCAAAGCAATAATGTCTTCTTCTGAGCAAAAACACTTTTTAGCAGCAATATAAAATCCTTGAGTCGACTGTGCAGGGCTGCAGTCCTTCAACAAAACACGCGGCTTTATTAAGAGTACGGAGAATATGAGGCATTTTGCTCTAAAGTGTAATTAACTTAATGAACTAATTCAGTTTTTAAATGGACATTCCTACTGGCTTTGACAGGTACCTTTCAGGGCTACCGTAATTTGTGACATGCGCTATAATGCAACACTTAATGAACTCTATAATGAAGATTTTAATGGAATTTAACCAATCATGTCCTTAATGCAGGATGCAAAGGACACCTGAGTGCTGGAGTTGAAGTGAAGCCCTGAGCACAGTTTTTAAGCATAGCTCCCTTGAACCACATCCAAACACAACAACAGTTTTCATTTGGCAAAGCTTTCCATGCTTCTAGGCCAAACATAAGGGGTGAGGAGTTAAAATGACTTTTTTTTTTTTTTGCTCTACTTTGCTGCCCTTTCAGCATTTCACATATACAGCGTGAGCATTTCAATCACACCGAACTGATGTGTTAAAGAAAGTAAAGACCTACCTGCCAGAAGATGGTATCTATTGTGCTGCCGAGGAAGCCTTCTCTCGTTTCAGAGGACAAGAGCTTTGGACCGAGAATCGTCATGAACTCCTCGAAATCAACCTGTCCGTCACCTGATAATGAAAAGAGACAGATTATTGAGACGTGATGATGTACTGATATCTGAAGCTTTTGTCAGATTAATTGTAAATTGCACAAACTGTTGGGACCAAACAGATCCTGAACATAATCAAACGTGATATCAAACTCTATGTACCTCAGGCTGTCCTGATCCTCATCCATCTCATAATGTGATGAATAGTTTTCTGTCTGTTTCGGTTTTCTATTTCTCAGCTCCCTCGTCGTGCTCTTTAGTCTAAACTCTGCACAGTGGAAATGATTCAGACAGCACGAACACAGTCTCGCTGGTCTCCAGTCATCGGTTTGGAGTGAGAGGCGAGGCAGAGTGAATGGCAAATGATGCCGCTGTCCTGAGCAACTACGGCTGATGTGCCCCTGAGCAGAACACTCGGTAACCGACCGCCTGCAGCTGAATGCGTGCGACTGCAACACACTGGAGGCAGGGCGCTGAGGGAAAGGCAGGATGCAACACTGAACTTCTCCCAGATTAAATAAGGGTATAACACGGACGTAATTGGAGCCTTTGGGGCTGCAAAAGGTTTCTACAGTTGTCTTCTGCAACGTGTGAAGAAACTCAGTTATTACACTGAACATTTGGACTTAAAGGGAAACACGGACGCCGTTCCGGCCCGTTGTATTGTTTATATTTTTTGTTTATATGCTTTACTTACATTTGACCCATTCTCTATATAAGTAAATATATTTTATCTGCATGTAACTCATCTATATGTGAAAATATAACCTCTTACTCTGTAAATCTTTTGATCTAAAAATCCCTTTGTGCTCAAGTTTGTAAAGTGCCAAATACATAAAATTTTATTATTGTAAATGTTTAAGGCCAGCATGCTTCAAATCACAGCACACATTTACTGCGAGCTCAGTTTTACAGTGAGATCTATAACACACACTATAGAGCACATCAAAGTTTACAGCTACAGCACTGCTGACAACACAGGCTTCCTGCAGAGCACATTGATTCCAACAGCACTGATCTCGGAGGCCTGCTGATAGTTGTTGAATCTCCTGCCAAAGCAAAGCATCAAAACTCTGCAGACAGCAACGATTCAAAACTAACAGGACTCGTAACATGGGCTTGCATTGATGTGGCTGAATGCCCTGGAATCCTTTTTTCTTTTGTACTCTTTGGGTGGAAACTTTTCATAATCCCGTTGAGGTTTCATTATCTCCCCTGCCTGGAGTTTGTCTGGTTTTATTATTGCCTTGTTTGGATGAACCACACCTACACGAAAAGCTCTTGCTGCACATTATAGGTTAAGGGAATTGTGAAAAATAAGATGGGCAAAAAAATGCAGTAAAAGAAGAGAAGGTTTTTAAATTAATGGGCTGGAGAGATAACACAGTCAGCTCAATAGAACTGGAATCAAACGCATGATGAATTAAACTGAGTGAAAGTCAGTGTATTGCACAGCAAAGCGCAGAATTCTTTGCCGTCTTTCTGTTTCAAATCTGAGTTTATTCAGTCTTTTGTGGTCTCGTGTTTCACATGTCCCTGTTGTAAGCTCATTTTACTTCCCCCTTCTTCCCACCTGCTCCTGCTGTATCTGCAGATGAGGCTGGGACCTTGTCAGTGGAAAGTTACTGATGCAGGACAACTCAATCTGCCCCTACCAACAGTACCTCTGCTCCCGCTCCGACTGGGGCCGCCGCTCTGGGGCACGGCTGGCACGGCAGCGTTTGACGCCGTTTGACTTTTGTCCATACATATTCAGCAGGGCAAGATGCAGGGCTACGGGCCAGATGACGCAGCACCGAAGACCTGGTGATGTCCAGACTGGGATGATGGCGGAGATACAGGTGGACTGGGTGAACCGGTTCAAGGTAAAACACGATGAGGTGCAGTAGTTATGCACACTTTGGGACCAGGCTATAAAACAGGTGTTGTATAAAGCTGCACTGACGGGTGTTTTTTATGTTTCTGCTGAAATAGATGACATTTTTATACAAGAAATTTACTGAATGCTTCAATCTTAGTGTTATAAACCTGATCAACAGCCAGTGAATGTTATTAGTAAATAATTTCTGACAAAAGCTGATTGTATTCTACCTGCCCAGCACCAAATGGCAAAAGTTATCGACCGTCTGGTGCTCAAAGTGAAAGATTCAGAGGCTAAAGAGCCAAATAGATTTCTTGGGTGTTTGTGGAGATCTAACTAGAAATATAAGAAAAGGAATCCGGTAGCCAGAAACACTGCTGTTATGCATCTACTAGATGAAGTAGTTCATTAACGGGTTCCTCAGAGTCCTGACAATACAATGCTGTCTCAGGATTGTGACCCAGGGAGTTTGTTTTTCGGAGACTTTTTGCCGATGTGGTTGTTAAAAAAGTACTTGTTGAAGTCAGTTCTCATTTCTACTATAGAAATTGTGTTATGGCAATTATTAGCCCTCAGTCAGTCCACTATTTTTAGTGTCCTACTGCTATAAATCTGGTCAGTAGCC